ACGACAGCCACGATGGCGACGACGACGACGACGACGGCAACGGCAACGGCACAGCGGGGGAATTGATACAGTACCATCCGTAAGGTGATGACGGGGGGTAGGTTAGCCGACTGTTGACGGCCTTATAGCCGTCGATCTCCTCACCCATTCGTGCTGATAATTCTCTGTGGGTGATGCAGATTCGAAGTGTTTTTGTCGGACTGAAAACTAGTTTGGAAGCCCGTGGCGATTTCCAGGGTGGTACCGAGCGATTCGTCCCAAAGTACAGCACGAGCCGACTCCAACCGTCCGGCGCGGCGCCTCATGCGAAATTCGCCGATCATTTCGGTGTTACTCCGTGCAATTCACCGGCTGGAGGTCAACCACGACCACGATCACGCCGGTGCGCTGTCTCTCTGCAAAACATCAGCGCGCATCCACTTCTGCTGTCCAACCGACCGCTCCCCCCTGCCGCCAGCCCCGTCCCATGCCGTCGCCGCCGTCGTCGTCGCCACGGCCATCACGACCTGGTCGGCTGGACGGTAACGGATTAGCCGGCTGAATGGCTCGAAGGTTCAAGTCGTGGAGCTGAATGAATGAATACATCCGCCGTGACGACGACCTCGACCACCAATTCAAACGTGTAGTCTTGGCTTTACGGATCCGCCAATGTATTCGCGATAAGTCATTTCAAGGGCCATTCACAGTCTTACGGCCAACAGACATACGTAGTCTTACCACTCAATTCAAATCATACTCTTAGTACAGAAAATTTACACATTTATTAAACTGCTCCCAGGTTTCCTGCCAACGTCGTGAAATTATTTGCGTAAACCGGTGTTACGGACTTCATAGCCCAAACGACGCGATAATCACCGATTCGTACAATTTGATCGGGTAACATTTGTTCCATGGTACGAACCAGTACAAAGATTTCTCCGTTCAGTAGATACGGTAGAAAGGGGCTAGACTTTAGCATTCACTGGAAAGCTGCTAACTTCCTAATCCTCGATTAGGAATAGCAACAGTGATAAAACCTCATTCCAGATATTGTTTCAGTAACCTGAGGACAAATGTGCCATTAGGTCCAATTTGTCTTACAGTACTCGAATAGTTGCTTGCGTGGTCTGCATAGTGAAGACCATACAATAGGAACGACGGTAAAGGCGTCGATTTCACATGCTTTGCAAGAGACCAAGTTGAGACGTGGTAAATGGTCCAGGTTCCCATTCGGGGAGCTTCCTTGAACAAAAATATGACCCAATTCAAAGCCAATCCTAGACAATCTTTCATAAGGGTCTTACAGCCAAACGCGTGGTACAGTTCCAGAAGGGCTACTGAACAAAAGAATCTCTCTTACGATTAGGACGAGTTGTCCTCTTGAAACCATGTTGTTCAGGAATCGAAAAAACGCCGTTGAAAATGTTTCAGGGTGTGTCCACTGAGCGTTTTTTCTCCGCTTGGAATTGACGCTTCCTCGTTTTTTCTACCTGACCGCATTACGGCGTCACATGGAGGCGTGGTTTGACGAAATCGCAGTCCCCGTCAGAGGTGACCGACCAGAGGTTAATTGAAAAAAAAANAAAAAAAAACTTCGGATTTGAAATTGCGTCAAAAGGAATCTTTCCACGACGCGAAACACCACTGATTGATTGGGTCCTATAATCGCTTGCAATTTCTTCATTTAAATTATTCTCAAAAAAATATGACCGCGTTCTAGCATATTTCTACTTTTGAAGCCCCTAGGTTATACTTCCAATGCTGTCCAGGGCGTTCCTGTGCTGCGGCCGCGTTGCGGTTTCCCCTCTAACTATGGAAGGCTTGGCGGGTCTCATGGAATTTTTGCTTTGCGAACCCATCCAGTAAACAAAAGGCGTAGACGCCTCGCTCTTACTGGCACAAAGTAAATAGAAGGCTGATGGACAGCTAGACAGGGCTTCCTGTCAGCTCAACTCACAATCAGTCTTTTCAACTGATAATAATGTTCGACTAATTTTGTCTCTAAACTTACTCCTTGACAATTCTTTATATTATCATCTTACTAAGGACCGACTTTTGCCCAAAATGCCATAGGCCATCGACTAATTTCAATTCCATCCCACTCAAAATCCTCCGTTTATGGACGGTTGTAAATCCTTATCCCACTCGTCGTGGTATTGTCCTCAACGCGGTTAGATGACCGATAAATAGTGTGTTATTAGAGGAGACCCTAGGACGATTACGATAATCAACAAGTTATACGGTACCAAGTGGTACCGGCAAGTTACGGTTGTGGTCATTGATGTGGAAGTATCATTACCAGCATGACTACTCTTCATTTGGAAGGCTTCGGGAATCATCCATCATCCCAACTGCCCTTATAGTGCAAACGGTAATTTTCGGAAATATGGCTTGGGGAACCCTAAAACCGTCCGTATTTTAGGGTTCCCTAGAGCTACATTTCTCCAATTGTAAGCTTTACATTTTGGAGCAAAATTATTGTTATGAGTATATGGGGCCTTGTTGAGGTAGGGGTGGTTTAGCGTCAGGCTGAGCCCATCATCTACGCATGATCCGTGGAACGAATCCCGGTTCGAAGCTCAGGTCTGCCGGTCTTCTACCAGTCCTTCCATCCCTCCAGGGTCGGTTAACTGGTACCAGACTAGCCTGGGAGGACAGAAGCACTGGTTTGTACATCGAATGGCCCACATGGTTTTCGAACGCCTCCAGAATTCCAAGTGGAGCCGAATGCGTGGGTGAATCCCAAAAACGGATTGATCGATGCCAAATACTTCATCATACATCCTACCATCCTTTCATTGTGACAAAACAATCGATCTCTGGTCTGGACAGCAGGTGCCGTGCCGCCACATCTTGCGGCCCTCTCCAGGCGGGAAACCTTGCCGCTAATTCCTTTTAAACGGTACGTGAAATGATAAACAAGGTAAACAAGAGACAGAGAACAATAATCACTACTTCTCTATGTTTATGCTTGTCCGAATTCTATAAACTCGGCTAAATACCAGCAAGTCCCGTTTTCCCTTTATCATTCGGACCTTTTCGGGATTTCGAATTTCTCACTGAAAAAGCCTGTATGATAGTCCTAGCTCTACCAGACATCCCTCTGTAACTCGCCTAAGTCTCGATCAATTGGTTTGTTGTGTATTGCAGCTGTTAGGGTGGTGGCACCTCTAGATGTGACGCTATCCCGTTCGATTGCTCTCCTGACGCGTTCCGATTACTTTTGGGATATCGATCGGATTAGGCTGTTGGGCAGAGTTGGGTGGTCTCCATTAGCACAGGAGTATTCCCATATGAAGGAGTATCTCCCAGGATTACTGAAAATTAAATTTTGAATCATCCGCAATGCTCCTTAGCCAAACGAAATCGTGAATTTATGCTTCGAAAACTGGCGCGCAGCTGCCTTGGCCTGAGGTGACGCCGCTTGAATGATCAAATTTATCGATTAGTTATCCGTGGGTCAAAGATTTGCCGTGGTTCTTTGCTTGTAGCTTCTTGTTTTGATAAAAGTTGGAGTTAGACTATAGCTGCCTGTGTACGGACCAATTTTTTTTTAATTCAGTTAATTTTCTACAGAAAAGGACTGCTGTAGAGAGAGTTAGACAGAGCAAAATAGGGAACCTCTTCTTTCATGTGAAATTACATTTTTTCGGAAAAATTAAATTTGTCGTCGACACGGCGTAATTACCTAGTTCTGGAAGCTTTACAGTCGACCCACACGTGTTTCTACCCGGTATTGATTAGTTGGGTAATAGGAAAAGCAGTAAGCTTTTGGGGGCAGGCTGGTGCAGAGACGTTGTCTACGCTGACCTAGCGGTTCTAACTAGCCACTCTTACATAATGGCTGAATGAGAACCTCGATACATGTGTGCAGTAGCTCCGTCACTTCCTTCCANTCCACCTGCGCGCCCAAAACTCAGTAACCTACCGGGCTTGGCCCAGGTAAAACGCAATCTCTAGCGAATCCACGAAACATTTCTCTCTCTCTCTTTGTTCGTAAACGAGTAACTCTAACCAGTTTTTCTTCTCCTTAAAAGGTCAACCATCGGGCATTGATAGTACTGGTAGGACCGACGGACGATTCGTCTGATTCCACGACTGACCTTTTGACGTGCGAATGTGTTACGTAACCCGATGACCGCGCACTCAGCAGCGTCGAATTGTCGTCAGGGTTTTTTTCTGTTTCGGTCAAAGTTGACCTCGAATCGCTGACGATGACGATCGGTAGTGGTTGCCTGAATGATTCCCGAATGCCATGCTGATTTCCTCGTTTCAAGGCCATCAAATGGCAACATGGCAGTAATTTGCGCAAAATTACAGACGCCTCTCACAACTGGATATCGCATTCGATGAGCAATGAATTTACTACGGTAAATCGACTGTATACTGTATATGGGTCTCAACTAGAAATTTGCGCCGCGTTGTTGTGACGTCATACTACGGTATGTGTTCGTGAATTCAAGCAGCTCTTCAATGCTCTTTATCCTACGACTGCATTCAATGCTGACGACTAGTTGTTCTATTGTTCTCGTAGATGGGAAAAAACCACGAAGAAAGGAACAACAATAAGAAGAAAGGAGGAATGTGGATAGATCAGTGAAGATCACTGTCTACTACCTTCTATTGTGCTGGAAATCGATAAAAAAGGACAACTATTGACGTGATTTGCCCATGGACGACGTTCAATGCCTTTCTCCCTGATTACTCTCTCCCACTTACTTCTCTACAACTAGATAACATAGGGTGACTAACTGGTCATAGTGTGTACTTGCAATGCCATTCTATTGTTTGACGAACAGTGAGAATTGCACTCGACGACTGAATAATTTGCCTTGGGGACCCTCCATGGTCGTCGTTCATTTGAGATTTGTCTAGAACGTTTATTCTACGTGTGGGGCTTAAGACCAACCCACACACATTGTCATCAACATTGTGGGCGGAGTCGTGTCGAGTTTTTGCTGTTTCGAGCGTGCGGTCATTAGTGCTACTGACCCACTGGCCTACTAACCTAGGCGGCAAGCATGAGCTCTGCTCGGGTCGAACTCTCGTCTACAAGTGTTGCAGTTGGAGCGATCATCATCAAGAAGGAAGAATGTCCATCTCCAACGACAATTCGAACTGCAGATGGCGAAGAAAATCAGCGTATGTCAAGCTTCTTCTATTTAGAAACTAAAACTCGTAACTTTGCGAGAAGATTCCGCTCTGAAACATTTTGCTTTTGACATGGGGTTACTTTTCCACGTACGAGTACATTTACCAAATTATAATTCGTGATTATATTCACCAAGAAATAATTTATATAAGAAAAACCTTTGATAAAACTTTATTTCGAGTATTTGTGGGCTGGTTGGGCTAGTTATTGTTTTTCAACGTGAATCGTTTAAAAACTGTGATGTTTTTCTTCTATTTCTCTGCAAGACCTCATCTAAACTGCTTTTCAACTTCATACATTTTCAAATATCAAAAAATCATGACATTCTTTTTAGAAAACGGCTTTGAAAGGCCGGTATAGTTACGTGGTTTAATAGAAGGAGCGTAATCTTGTGCATAATAATAATGAAGGATTTTTGGTACATCACGATGCTCGAAATTGGGTGGTTATAAAATTAATTGTAATTTTTTTGCATGGTGGAGCATTGAAATTGAATGTTTTTTGCACTCCCAACTGAACAAATCCCCTAAAGAGTGTCAATTTCTAATAGCCCACTGCTCACCCGGTTTCAGGCACAAAACCTATGATACATATGAAAACGACAAAGAGAAAAAGGAGCAACAGTCAAATTTAAAGAGAGATACTAGATGAACTAGCATGCTTAAGAAGAATTGTAAGAATCGTCCGTTAAAACTTATAATAGCAATTCTTTCACAGTTGAAGTAAAATAAAGCTCAAGGACTTGAAGAGAAATCTTTTAACAGTTTAGTTTGAAGTGGTCTTTCAGAGATACTTTAGAAGCAAAACTTGTCACTGACACTCGTATATAGAACACTACTGTTCGTTAAAACACCTGTCTAATGTCCAATGTCCATTGCTTCGTCCGCGTTATTGTGACGTCGTTTTCGTTCATGTCTCTGTCGCTCGTCCTTCATGTTTGTTCAACAACAAGCGAATATCAGAAAATGGGAATCTGTTGATTTTTGTAATTTACCATTAAGCTTTTATGATTTTCAGTTCCTACGTGGAACTCATAATCGTAGTGTTTTCAGCTCAAATAGAAGTTATACCATGTAAAGTATGCGGCGATAAGTCATCAGGTGTTCATTATGGAGTGATCACATGTGAAGGATGTAAAGTGAGTCTTTTATATTTGTTAAATCTTGATTATATTATTATTATATTTGATTCAATAGCATTTGGACAAACTACTATGGGCACAATCCCCTGAACACCATGATCGGATCGCTCTTTCTGAGGCTCTCCGTCATAGGTTACCCGCTTGAAATAGAACTTATTACTCAGATTTTCATTCAGGAATTAGTAAAGATTGAACAAATTGAACACTTACGGACTTGGGTTTAAAAGTGAAGCGGTCCGAACGTCACTCACCCCCCCCCCCCCTCCCCCGTTCTCGTTTCCCTAAATTTTTTTTGTGTTNCCCCCCCCCCCCCCCCCCCCCCCCTACCTCGTTCTCGTTTCCCTAAATTTTTTGTGAGTATTTAACGCGATCATATACTGGCTAAGTTAAGGTTATTATTACTCACTATGTAATATACTTAACGCAGAAAACTAGGTATAAGCTAACATGTCGCCCCAAAACTAATGTGGATCCCTCACTCAAGGATGAGCTACGTTTTTCAGGGATTCTTCCGGAGGAGTCAATCATCTGTTACGAATTACCAATGTCCGAGGCAGAAAAACTGTACAGTGGATAGGTGGTTATTACTTAAACTGCTTTTCGCAAGTCTCGTAGCTTGTCTGGAACAAAGACTTTCTTCAAGGGTTAATCGTAATCGCTGTCAATACTGTCGGTTGAAGAAGTGTATGGAACTTGGCATGAGTCGTGACGCTGTGAAATTCGGTCGGATGAGCAAAAAACAGCGAGAGAAGGTGGAGGATGAGGTTTGCATGTTTCCGACCCTTTGTTTGTGTAGCGTCAACGTCCGTATTTTGTGAAAGAATCTACCATGCTCATGACTTCATGTGGTGCATTGCATCTCGAATGACATCAGGTTTTCTCGCATGATGTTCAACTGAGATTTCAGTTGTGTTGCATTGGATAGTCTAGTGATTTCCGTTTCCCGTAGAATCCTCCCTGTTGTTTGTCTGATAAAAGAAGCGAACGCTACGAGAAACACGTACTCGTGCCTTGGCGTGGTTATTGGCGTGTTGTATTGATTCAAGACATTGTGTCACAACGCAGCCGCACGCGTCCTGCAGAGACTTTGGAACTGTTTTGAAACTATTCCCCCTTGTTCGACTGTTACCCGTATTCTGTCAATCTGTATCTGAAAATGGGTTTCAGTATTCCGACCGTGCTTATTTAAGTTTTATAGGTCCGATTACATAAACAAATGCAAGAAGCTACAGGTGTACCGTATATGTATAGCGAATATTCACCACCATCACAGCAGTCCAGCTATGTGGCTCCCGGGTAAGTACCTAATTCAACGGTTTTGTAGTTCAGAAATGTTCGATTTTGATGCAGTCAGCAGTCAGTAGTAAGCACTTATGAATGGATGACAAGGCCACGTCTTCGATGGTCTCATTCGTAAGAAGTACCAAAGGGTTCATTCAGGAGTAAGACCTGAATTTAGGTTTTTCCAAATTCGTATAGTGAACGTTTTACTAATTCCTGAATTCAAACAAATCAAAGTTACGATTTTTAAAGTTAGGGACCTTCTAGTTAGGGCTCCGCATTAGCTGATGCTCCGTCCTCCTGCAAAACCTGTTAGACTATAGTGACCAGTTCATAGGAGTTTTTTGCCTGTAATCGGCTCCCTTTTGATTGCGATCGTGTCATTTGTCCAGTAACAATTGCCAGGCCAAAATTGGATTGTGTTGGCTCGCATGCTGGACATAAGCGTCAGAACAATTATACCTGTCATTCTGAATGAATCCATAGCGGTCGTCGAAGTTGACAGCCTCGATAATTTTAGTATTTCAGTTACGAAACTGGCCTCTACCCTCATTACGCTCAAGGTGCGTATGCTCATGCTGTGGCCGCCGCTCCCATCAGTTATCCGTCGCATTCCTATGGCGTCGCACAACAAGGTAATTGTTATCTAAAGCCTTTGAACATGCCGTCAGTAGACATCGCACCTCACTTTCTCTATTAAGGAACGGTTCCCGCTAGCAATGGCGGCTTTCCATCACCGCAACTCTCATCTGCAGCAGAAGAGGATACAGCGGCGAAAATTGTGGCAGCATTTGAGACCACTCATACTCAAATGCGAAACATGAATCCAAATCCGACGATTGTTGACGTGAACAGATTCGCTTCATTAGTCAGTCTTGTTCTTCACTGAAACTAGACTCAGAAAAAAAGCCAAAAACTTTCATTGCTCTTTCAGGATTTCCCGAATCGGATCGGAATTTGGCGGCAGTTTGCCGCTGACCTGACTACCGTTATACAAGCCATCATAGAGTTTGCAAAAATGATCGATGGCTTCATGCGACTCGGACAGGAAGAACAGATCCACCTTTTGAAAGGTAGGCTAGCAGTATTCTTACGTTTTACGCGCTATTCAGTCACCTGTTGCAAACTGAACAGAGTGAACAAGCAGCTTTATAACAGCATCATCTGATTCGCAACTACTGCATGTAAAATGTTCTGAAGAATTCAAATACCTTTACTCAGGAGGTGTCTTTGAACTGGCAATTGTCGAATTGTCCTCTCGCTACTCACCTGAAACTCAGACGCTGTCTATGGACAACATAGTTCTTCCGCTACATAATCTCAATATCACAGATCAAATAGAGGTTGGTAGTGTTCATCGGTATTATCGATAGTAATGGGTAAGCCTTTCATTCGTGAAAGAACTTTGAACAAGCGCATTTGCAACTGGGAGGGTTGGCTTTCCGACCGCATTGAGACCGATGTGCCATTCATTTCTCATGGTAACCAGAAAAAAAGTTTGCACAGGAAAAAAATTTGCTCAATTTTTAAGCTCCATTTCTCCTAAACGCCAGTTCCTCAATTCCAGGTTCGTTTCGTGCAAGAATTCCATCAATGCTTGCATGATCTGGCTGTCTGCCAAATGACATCCTCGGAAGTGGCTCTACTTTGTGCAGTGCTATTGCTTGAACCAGCGTCTACAGAACAGGCTACATGTGAACGTCTCCGAAGCGTTCTCGCTCAGTCATTAGCCGCTCGTGTCGGTAGTGACGCCCAAAGAGTTTGGGATACTCTGCCAAGGCTGAAGCAGACCGCTCATCTTCACTTGATTCTGCTTGGACAGTTACGAGCACAATTCCCGGCGGAAACCGAAGCCGGTTTGCCAGCACTATACAAAGAGTTATTCTCAATTGATCCTTAAGTAAGACTGTCTTCATACTATATAATTGAATACCAGTGAATTAAGCTTTTTATCCTCTAACGGTCTTATTCTCATTGTTGCATTTTAACACACACGGTGTGGAGGGCAAGAATTGGAGAAGCTGAGGTGATCACGTTGCTCTCCACGCCGACTTATATGCGTTTATAGTTATCATGATCATTCAAACGTGTCTTCTAACATTCCAGTATTCGACCCACATCTTCCTGTAAGTTGTGTGTGGCGGATGATGTACGGTCGCGTTGAGAAATTGTGGGGTTATCCGCTAAGCCGCACATGTAATGGGGCTGCAGGGCGATGTGGACTATACGTGCGCTGCTAACCATAACACTGCCCGTACGTCTTCATTAAGAGCGTGAACACGCTGTCGTCCCTTGTTTTCATGATTGTTTTAATTATGGATCGATGATCATAGGTAAAGCATATTCATCCGTTCGTTCGCGTTCTTTTTCTGATATCGATATGTGTTGGCGATTTAAGCCATCCATACGGGTTATATATGCTATGCTAAGTGTGTGTTGTTATAAGTGTTCTCCGTTAGCCGCATGCCTTATTCTACTATTTATAAATCGGGAATTTCAATATGAACATTCTCGCGATACAGTCTCAATCAAGTGCTTTATTGTCGTGCTGCAAATGTCTGCTTGTATCCTCCTCTCTCTCACAATCGCCTTGACCAAATCAACTCACATTCCTCGAATTTTAGGCATTTATCGATATTTATATCCATATCGCGTTTTTTACCATTGTATATTGTATACCATATTATATTTCTAATAAGTTTCTAATCGTTTATGTATGTACAAATTGATTTGCATTCGAGCGCACGGTTCCCTCTCTATGTTCGATATCCATTCTTTCTGCTGAAGTGTTTGAATTATACGTAAAGTGTCTATGTGGTTCATCTTCCTGTCATCCAATCATTATTTACTCCGTTCGTTCTAGGAAGGATAATGTGAATAATAATGGGGCTCAAGAGGTGATCGTTAATGCGATGCGCAGCAGTCCCGTGCGGATCATGTTGACTATCTACAGTATCCCATTAGTCACTTTATGTATGTTTCTAACATACTGCCGTATTCTGCCTTTGTGCCGAGGTAACACTGACACTGCAATATTTGACTGTGACTTTGTGTGTATGTTTTTCAGTTTTAAGATGAACTTTTTTCCAATGATATCTATCAATTGTTCAATGATCATCCTCAAGCACGAAGCGNGCGAGAAAATGCGTGCTACTCATTTTTAAGTTGGGGCGGCCAAAGATCGTATCAAACCTCTTGAACGTGGAAATGCGCTTTGTGATTAATAGCATCTGGTGTAACCCAGTAAGGGGTCCAGAAGGGCCGCTGCCACTTACCATACGCATCCTTCCAAGAAACACTTTATAAAGGATGTGCGCCACTCTCACGCAACAGGGATGGTCCTCAATACCCACAAAGTGTTGTGTTGGAGCGCACTGATGGGTGGGTGTGTGTGTGGATTTACGGGTGCGGTAAGGTACGATGCTATTGAATAGTCGCGGCGGTTCGGCGGCCGCTGGAGGTCAGCTGGACACCGGCTGGCACCCACACATCGCATGACCTTGTTAGTACGAACACCCTTTCACCTCTCTGTCTCTCATCATCACCGGTTCGAGCGTATTTAGCATATTCGCTCTTCGATTACGGTAGATGAGATTACCGAGAAGTTAAATGGGAAGCTACGCTTGTCAGCTCATCAATCGTCAAGAATCCGATGCCTTAGAGAAGCAGTTCTCATCTTCGCGCGCGCCTACTCGTAGTATGTCGGTCAATAGGGACTGAGAACGCATGACAAGGATTACGGTAGATTTGGTACTGTGGTCGAGAAGAAATGAAGGATGGGAGAGGCATGGTGTTCCTTAATGAATGTGGTTCTCTTAAATAGCCGAACATGCTTTAATCTTTCGTTGCTCATCAAGGGGCAGCAGAATATGTTCCTAATCTGGAAGGGCATTATGAAGAGAGGAATCTTACAATGAAAGGAGAGGGAACTGGTTGAATTTGTATCATTTATTGAATGCGGGCCTCAAAACTTACAAAAAACAAAGTGCGTGCCGTGAATCCGATCCGTCGGTGGGGTTTCTAGAACTGTCTGCATGAGATTATTACTGAAAATCCCAGAACCTATCGCAAGAGATTAGTCCTGGAAATATGTGGGGTGTATTGAAAATAAAAAGAAAAGAAAAAACTTTGGAAAAAAGTTCTAAAGTGAATTTAAATGAATTACCGAGAATGGTCTGACTGTTGAGTCCTAGAGAGCCACGCAGATTTCTTGGAAACGAAATAGGGCTTTATGGGTATATATTCGAGCATATGAAATAGCGCATAGGAATATTGATTTTTCGTATAAGGTAATGATGGAAGAATTTATAAAACGTGATAACTGAACATCTGGAGCAATTCACTCACACTCTACAAATGACGACGACCTGGGGCGGTGAATAAAGACCGTATCCTTTTTCCACTGTCTGTTTGTCTCATGGAATCGGAAGAAAGAATAACTTCTACATCGAGTCAATATAATTGCAAGTTGCTCCTAAGTCCAGCTGATAATCGCTTCCAAATTATATATCAAGTTTACTAGGAAAAACCTTCTTTGAAAAGTAATTACTATTGAAATGTCTCATTTCTTTTGATTCTCGTAGTTTTTCTTGCGACATCGCATATTTATATCGATCTATCAGTAGAAAAAGATTACGATATTCTATTAATGAGCATACCCGGTCATCCTGGTTAAAGAAGTACCTAGAGAGGACATACCTATACCACTTGTAGTAATTTACATCTGGCGTTGTCATAAACCATACAGCGTTTATTTATGACAGGCAACGTCAACGTTTGCTTGCTCTTAGATATTATGGGAATTTTATGATGAGCCTGTCGTTTTTATTTCGTTTTTTGCCATTGGAAAGTTGCCAATAGCAGTAATGCCACGAGCATATGCCACCAGCAGAGTATGTAATAGAGTATCAGATCCTCTAATCTCGAGGACGCAGCGGTACAGTCTCTTCGTGAGCGATTAGATAGCCAATACGGGGCTCAACTTATCTGATGTCGATTCCGTTTTCTTAGTCGGGTGAAAGTCCTGAAAAGGGATAGACCTTGAAGTACATTTTTGCGGAGATTTTTCTAATGGACCCTGGCATTCACTGACTGAATTCCTCGGGAGAAAAGAAGATCACATCGGCCACCGAAGCGATGGTCTGCCTGACTTCTTAATGAAGTCTAGGAATGAAAAGAATCCTATGCTGCGTGTCCCCCTAGCGAGGATAATCCATACTTCTCTGGCTCGCAACAGAGAGGAATGGAGATGTAATCGACACCCAGTCGAGGAAACCGATGAACAACTGGACGACAGGTGATATAGGTGATTTTTCGAATAAAGAATAACAAAACAAGTTTTATGGAACACTAACGGGTTGGGTATGCGGTAACGCACTCGACATTCAATCAGATTGCAGTGCGTACATGGCTTATCCTTGTGAGGGACAGCGGATATCAGTAAGTGCTTTGGTGTTCTCTTACGGATACTTTACGAGTTGGTACCAGTTTGAAAGACTTCGGAGGTACCGAAGGGTTGGCTGGATTCGGGGTCATGTAGTTGGTTATGTGTGATATATTCTACCTGGTAATATCATCTTTCCTCCTTAACCGTACGCACTTGGTGGAGTTTAGGTAGTGTTAAGTGGCGTTGCCTTCACAGTTAGATTTCAGAGTTAAATCCCAGCTTGACACCCGCTTGGGCCAACATATCCTTTCGGAGCCAGTCAAATGGTGTAGCCACTTTGCTAGGATAAAACCACTGAGTTGGAAGTCGGCTAGCGAACCCTTTGCGGGTTCATCGTAATGAGCAAATACGGAGTTTTTGAGTAGAAGTCGAGTACGTGGTCACATCACACAACAGAATTGGTCACTTTAGAAAATTTCAGTCGAAAGAATTATTTTCCGACATTAGCTATGCGTTCAGAATCTGGACAACGTCGCGTTTCTACAAAAAAAGTGGACTTCACCGGGATTCCCCTTAGTAAACACAAAATATCGGTACAACCCCAAAACACTTCCGACAATCGGCATCACGCTAGGCTTTGTGTTTCACCTCTACCACTGTCTCAGTGGTAGTGGTGAAAAGTTTAGCAGCTTGTGATACCAGCACAGTTCAGTAGTGGCCCGCCCGGAAGTAGGAAAAGTGGTTTCTACCAGAACCCGGCATGACCAGACACAGCAGGATGCGATCGTGTTTCAAGTGGAAAATGCAAACAGTGGCGTACTTCTTGAACGGGTCATGGGAAGGATGAGCTGGCCTTTATAGCAAAAGAATAAACATCGTAAAAGGAACGATACACGCGACGGTTGTCCTTTCCTCTATGAACAAGTTGTGAAAACGACTTGCTCCGACATTTATTTTGAAATAACAATTGTCGCACGACATTAAAGGGCAAATTCCTATAGCAAAAAAGATGAGAACACGAGTCTTCCCGTTTTATAAAACTTCAGGTCACAATATCACAGACAACAAAAACAAATTACCTCATAAGAGACATATTATTATTAGAATGACTATTCGAAGGCAAGATTGAAGTAGAAAACAGAAATAGTAATGCAGACTCTAAGAGATGAAAGAACCATTAATCGCGCTAATTTAAAAATGAAATCTAGTCTTTGTTCTTCTTCATGTACACTCCTTCAGCGGCTTTCCACTTTCCACCGCTTGTAATACCATCAGTTCCGACGACCTGAATCGTATTAAGAATTCTACGTAGGAAGAAGGCATAATCCTCGAATATGTGTGAAAATGAAAAGTTTACCTCTCTCTGGCCATGAATCGGCCTACCAAATTGTTGTCCAGATAATGCTAGGTACACACTAGTATCAACATGCTTAATCTTCACAGCCTAAAGGCGCACAATGAAGGCGATATTGATTCAAAAACCAAGTCAGATCTATCAGAATCAAGATGGAACAGAGACTTTTGCAAGAGTAAACTACTCAGTCAAAATGGTGGATTTCCCCAACTACTGCAACCTCATGCTGGCCGTTGTAAACAAGTCTACAAGCACAAATCTCAAGAATAAACAAAGCGAACAAAGCACTAACGTCACTCTCCAGCCACTCATCCGAATTACAAAGAATTTGCCAATTATCTCCAGTATCACTTTGGGTGTCACCACCAAAGCACGATATTTCCTGAAAAAATACTAAAAATTCAATGAATTGAATGAATTTGCCACTGTCCCAAATCCATGAAAGAGAAGTAATAAAGGATCTGCAGCCTAGGTAGAAAGTCGTTTCTAGTTAACAGAGTAACTTTGCCACGACAAATTTTTTATTGGACGAACGTCCGAGATACAGAGGTGGTGCAGCATTGATTGACTAATGTACTACCTGGTAATGGCTGGAGAGAGGTGCTTGGAAGTGATGAGTATGCAGGAAGCAGCCGGTAGTGAGATGTTTTAGTCGAATTTTGTCACCACACTTGATCGGATCACCGCGATGGCACTTCTCGTTTAGGGCTGAAAGAAGTAGTTTAAGTTTGAGTAGCGGATATAGCTGATGCAGTTGAGGGAGCCCGTCGAAGTAAGAACGTTCGAAATCTCGAATCACGATAAGCTGGTGATGGATAGATTGTGATTCAATTTGGAGTATTTCATGAATACGAGCAGTTCACTGTGTGATTGCCACAACAACTACAAAGCTTCAAACTCGAACCGTTCTCGACTTCTCTGTGGAAAAGCTTTTTGGCTTGAATAGATTAACAACAGCAATAAGAAACTTCAGTCTGTCTTCCTTTCAACCATAAAAAATTTTGATCGTCAACCTAAATAAACAGAATCTTACCTGGATAAATTTGCCAGTGTGAATTCACGTCGTCAGAAGCCGTAACAGCAGTGACTGATTGTTGACCGCTGCCACTACCATATTTGACATCATGAGAATGCAATCGGGAACCTTCGTTTGCATTGGAAAGTTTCAATACTGATCCGCAAGTAATGGATTCGTCATCGTAGGCAAAACTGAGTGTGACATGAGCTACTATCACAAATGTGGTTAACCACCTCATTTGAATCTGGAATGTTGCAAGGAGATTGGTAATAGCACTTGAATGTATTAGACATCAGCAGAATCGAGATTTCAGACTTTTCGGCTGATATTCATGAAGGGAAGCATGGCTTCTGAGGTGGCATTAACAAAAAGGATTTCATAATTGATAGTGTAACATAATCCTGAGCTAGCATCCAATTCAAAAAACTAAACATTGGCATCATAACCATTCTCAGAGTACGAGGCAGGACTGATTATACAGCTGATTAATAAAATATTGATGGAGATGGAAGAGGACCAGTCTCAACAAACAGTCTACAAACGCCTACTAGTGAAATCAGCCAGTTAAAGCACCGACAAGCACCGCTGAAGAGATATCGGCTCCAGAGCAAACAAAACTACGATAGTAAAGAGACCGGAGGCCTGGGATTTAACGATTAGCAGCATCTCCTTCAAGTACACGTCAAGATTGGCAATGTTCCAACGAAATCTGCGCCAGTTCACCCTTGATGACACGGATATTTACTTAATACGGTACCACCTCCTTTCTGTAATTCAACTTTAACAACTCAAATTTCGTCATTCACTTTTCACAGCTTTGTATTTATCAGCTTCATCTCCTCATCGAAAATTGATGTTATATTGGGTTAATCATGTTCGTATGTGGTTGACTAAATTCACTTTAGTCGGATTCTTCATAAATCTTTTATCGACTTACTTCCTTAGTTTGTGCATTATTATTAAGTGCCAGATTAGTAGTGAATAGAATTAGGGTAATTATTCGGTTTCATTCTATATTAACGTTTTTCTGGAAGTAGTCTTCGAGAAAGGAGTTGTATCTGACTAGGAGATGTGTTTCTATCATTCACAGCGATCTCTTAATTTTAGACGCTATTGCGTTGTGGAACATTCCTTGTATTCGGCCTGTGGATTGAAAAGTTAGTTTTAGATTCACAATGGCGACAACCATAATGACGATAACGCCTCCGAATGTGTCCTATATTCAGATGGATTCACTTGTTATTATGAAAATCGTCAAGCATGTCGACAGCGAGCTTTACGCTGGAATGAGCGAGGTTCATCTCATTCCTCTTTCGGCTTTAGCCTTTGTTTGATTAGCCTTGACAGATAATGCCGTCGATTTAGGTAGCTGGTGAAGCTTGTCAGGGCCTCTTGACAGGGCTTGTGTCCGTAGAAAAAGATGATAGCCGTTTGGAAATCACTAACTGCTTTCCGACTGCTCGTGCTGAGCCTGTTCTGGAAAGCGATGAAAATGCCGCTCAGGTTCATTCTATTTTAATTCCTTTCATCTTTAATTGGAGTCGTTTTGATGAAAATGTTATTGGGTGAATCACCCTTGGTCTTCATCACTGAACCCTAGGGCGCAGGGAAGGTGTGGTAGCGATTTTGCGAGACTATAATGGGACTCAGAAACTTTTCTTATTGTTAGCGAGGAAAAAATTTTTTACCTAGGCTTCAAAAGGGAAGGAACATCGGGGTGAGTGAGTCAATTGATGTTCATTTCATACCCATCCCAACTTTTGCACAAGGTATTCATGTTACCCACCCCAATGCTTCCCTCCTCCTAAGGCTTAGGTAAAAGCTATTTCTTTGGTTAGAAACCGTCTCTAAGCGTGAGTAAAGTTGGCTTCATCTCCTTCTCCGCGATCTATAACTCAACGTCAGAGACGAGGGGTAGCCTTTCCGTCAACTGCATTTGTACCTCCGTTTTAAATGCTCCATAGACGGTCTTATTCAGGCTAATCAGTTGTACGAGGAACTCAAACAGCAGGAAATGCTGGATATGCTAAGGAAATTCAGGTGCATTTTTTTGAATCAACGCTTCTTCTTTGAATTGAAGTAAATGGTCGCTATTCAGAAATATGAATATTGATTATGAGTTGGTAGGATTCTATCAAGCGCATCCATTTGGTGCATGTTTCTCGCAGGACCTTGTAGATTCAATGTTCGATTATCAGAGCAATGGGCCCGATGGCGTTGTTATCATTTACGGTAAAATTTTTGATTTGTAGAAACTGTTTTCTCTCATCACGTATCAGTTTGTGTAGTACCAGAGGCCAGTACCCGATGTTTCTACAATTCCCATATGTCTTGTTCCTAGCTTCTTTCCCAATTAAATCACGAGGCGTTTCTCTTGTATCTGTCGGAGTAATGAAATTGAGATGTCCATATCCGTTATTTCCATAAAACTGTTCAATCACGTTTTTCAGATCCTGTAAAGACGCGACAAGGGCAGCTTTGTCTGCGCGCATACCGTCTATCTGTGCCTGCGCTTGAACTTTGTGCCAAAAACGACTGGTCGCCAGAAGCGTACGTTTTGCATATGTTCACCTAATTTTGTGTTTGGTGATTCTAATCACTTGCCTATCGTGGCGTTATTGCGGGTGGCCCTTGTTTGAATCTCGCTTGAATCTTGCTTTGCTTGTTTCTTGTTCAATGTTGTTTTTATCGCAACCATTGCGCTGACAACTTTTTTTTTTGGCAATTCCGGCATAGTTCGCTTTTTCAGTGTCAAAGCAGCGAACCTCACTTACCAAACAATGTTTGAGGAATTACCCATAGTTATCAAAAGTAGTCATCTCGTCAATGTCATGATGGCTGAGTTGTCATTAGCCCCTACTAAAATTGCTGATAGATTCTCGACGCACCTCGAACTAGGATCTCGAAGGTGAGCAGAAGAGTCATCATTGTATTCTACATAGTACGATTTGTGTTTATATTGCAAAAAGTTCCCTACATTCAATGATAGTGTAAGGAGAGGATACTACGCGGAATATAATTTTTTTCAAATATAAATATTTCTTGCTCAGATCACTAGAGAAGAGCGTTAGAGCGATGATGGCAAATATCGATGAGCTCAACAAGTCTATATCAGCGTATGGAAAGTATGTGAACGATAAACAGAAGCATGATAATATGATCTACAATCTTACGCAAAAGCGGGTATGAAGTTCGCTGTTCTAAGCCAGTTCTAAGTTCGCTAAGTGTTTGGGCAAATGAGAGCATCGCGATTCTACGTTCAACCTGTATGCCTTTCAGCAAGCAGAAAACGAACAACGGCTTGCAAGAGGCGAACCTCCATTGTCAATGGATGACATACGTAAGATGAAGGAGCCACAGTTACAAACAAGAAATGGCATGCTTGATGCGATGCTTAGTAGCTGTGACACACAAGCACTTGCTGATTTCTGCGTTAAAGTTGGTTTTCAAGACATTTGTTTTATTTAGTTCTGAAAGGAGAGCTACCGTAGACACGCCCCTTGAAAACATAGATTTTTCCTCTTTCAGGTGACCGGAGAAAACATAGCCAAATTGTTCCTCGCCGAAGCCCTGGCCGACGATAAAGGAACCGTTAAGGATCGATCACAAAGTCTCCTTAACCGTTAATTTTGTCCTATAGTATATTGTCAAAGCAACCTGAGGCTATGACGAGATATTCGACCATATTCATGGGTACTTCTGGATAGGTGAACTATTTCCTTTGTTTCGCATATGGTTGGATGTTCTATTGGATAAGTTATACTTGTTGGTTCTTCTCTATGGACTTGTTGTTGCCAGTGTTACTGCTGTGGTGCACGTTTTGTTTTGTTGGAGAGACGACATAAATATATGAAAGGAGTGCTTATGTATAGGGCGATAGCGTTAGTGCGCATCTTATTGGAGCTGTTTTAGTTCCGCATAGAAAAGGGATTGAATACATGACTTATGTCCTTAAATCACTTTGTAACACTCATTAATTCTTACCTATCCGTCTTTCAAGTTAAGAGTAGATAAAATTAGCGTTCACCGGCTAGCATTGTGAGTTTGCTTGCTCGAAGTAAAGTTAGATCATTCCAATCATCAAAATGGTCAAACCGCCTAACTTTATCGACTTATCAAATCTAGCAACAATTCGAATGTAATGGAACAACAACATTTTTGTAAGCTCGACAAACACCAAAAGCTTTCACTCATTAGTTTTGATGTGGTGAGATACTGGAGTGCAACAACGCGAAGGCTACCGGGGCAACGATAAGTACTAAACGGTGCTATTATTGCAGCTTACCATGGGCGTAAATTACTTTTGTCAGAAAGATGACTTGCATCGCTACTGAATTCCATCCGGAATTTGCCTTTCTCTGTTTCGACGAATTTCGAGACGGTGGCTTGACCCACGTAAGTGAAGTCCTTGCCCCAAATCTCATGAATTGCCCCAATGGGCGCGCCATGACTGACCAGTAGTAGGTCTCCTGGAATAGTGTTGATTGGGGCTAGGGACTTTAGAATGAACAGTGAACCTACCATCGTACTTCTCCGTCAGGCGGTTAAGTGTGGTACGAACTCGTGGTACGCATGCATCGTCACCGAAACCTTCTTTGGGCAATGTGTGCTGAAAAAATGTTATGATGACGAGTATGGATGGACGAGTGAGCCTTAATTCAGTTCTTTTACGTCTCGGCAATAATAAATATGTAGTCTGGTAATCAAGTTCTTCATATGATGCCATTTCGACGGATGCTATCGTGTGGACAATGGAATCACGCCTCTTCGAGAAGTTTGTCCTCTGAGACGAACGGCTACCAACTATAAGAGGCATCCCCCTCTTACCAAACAATAGCGCTGTGTCTCAGGTGCACAGTCAAGGATCTTTGAATGGCAAAAATTGTGTATCCCTGTCGTGGAGCATTTAATATTGAAATGACATGACGAGAGGTAAACGAGTACCTTAGAATATACTGGAACGTAGTCGGTGTCTACCAGTGGGAATTTCTCCTTCAACTTGTCAGTATCCCAGAAACCGGGTGGATTATGGCAAAGATACAGCGCTTCACACAATCCTGGTTCTGGCTGTAACGGTACAGTACAACAGTTTTATCGGCATCACCTGACCCCAGCGATGTTCACGGACATTATCCATACCTTTACTAGTAAATTCTTGTCTGCAACGATAGTTGAGGCAGTTTCAATTGTTCTATCATAAGGTGAAGCAAATACGTGAGCAATGTCGATTTTACGAAATCTGAATAGAACATATGAAATGCAGGGTAGAAGAAGTTGGAATGATTCTGAATTCACTAAGAAATTTGAAGGAGTTCAAGTGTCATTGTGTCATACCTAACGGCACATTCTTTGGCCTGAGTTCGTCCTCGCTCGCTCAGCATGCTATTATCTGACAATAGATCGCTACCGCCGGGTAATTTCCTCCAACCTCTATTAATGTTATCCTCTCTGCAAAAGAGACTATACATTAGCGTTTCCAATGAAAGGAAAAGAAAAGAAATGGAAAGGGAGGTCGCTCGTTTTAAAGATCTTATTGTGAATCCTTCTTTGTGAGGATAGGCCAATATTTGTTCGCTCACCTTTCAGCATGGCGGACAACCCATATAGTCCGAATCGGTGAAGCCATTCTGTCACAGCCGTCTGCTGGACACGTATCACCAGCCTGAATTGGAAGGGCAGACACTCTAGTTGATGAAGTCACGAATCAAATCCGATTGATTGGTCAATAAAGCGATCAGTTACTATTATAGGAAAGTAATCGGTCAGAAACCGTTACCAAAACACTTCGATAAATCGTTAACTGACAGAGGAACGTGAATCTGAATCGGGATACATAGCCAAGCATCGACTATAAGCAACTCTAAAGATTACAATGAAACACACATTACCTCAATCGACACTGCTTGTCTACACATAATGCAGATAAATGAAACGTAATCAAAATGTCTCTTTATCGTGAACCATACTGTATTACATGAAACTACAAGAAATACCACCGAAAAAACGACGGTTCAGTAGCAACTCCAAAAAATCGTTTCATACCAAACAATTTATTATGCAACAAACAACAACTATTTACAACAAAAAACAGGCTATACAAAAATGAGGTGGACTGAATGAAGATTTTTAGATTTGCATGTCCCACTATTTACTTTCTACATAGATCTGGATTAAACATCGAATTATACTTTTGCTTTGGTGGTGCAGTAGCCTTCTTTGGATCGAGTAACTGTTGAGCACGCTGCCGCTAAAAAGAAAGATACAGACAATAGAAAGATAGTCTTTGAATTAGATACTATGGGAATGATATGATTTGCATTGATGTTATAAGACTTTTTTAAAACCTGCTGCCAAGATGTTAAATAAGTTCTTATCAACTTACGTTTCGGCGTAATCGCCTTCTTCAGAGCCTGGAAACCTGTGTTTTATCATTATCCATCCTTCATTCAACAA